GGAAGAGATACAGATTGTTGTCATATAAAAAAATAAATAAAATAACCCGAAACACCTTTAGCTCAGACTTACATAATGGTAAATAGGAATAACAAGGTCATTCAGACAAATGACTAACTGTAGAGCCAAATCCTGTTGTTTCAGCACACTTTTTTTTTTTTTTTCCAGTTCTTACTCACACAGATTTGTAAAGACTGCTAAAGCTTCAGAAGAAAAAACAGAATTAAATCTCTTGCAAGGAGTGGGGGTCTGGGGCCTAATTCTTTGACCGTGGACCAATTTCAGTGTAATGCAGCTGATGTCCGGGTGACAAACTCTGCAAGAAGAGGAAATATATTTTATTAAACTGACTGATGTATGCCAACTGAATTATGCTTGCTTTATAAAAGTACAATTGCTCCTACAGACTTAGATGGAAACTCTGGCCTTCACTCTGTTCCCATTTACACTGATGCAAGTCAAAGGTAATTTCATTATAACTAATATAAACGCATTACAGACAAGGCAATTACACCTGTAAGATATTGGTGTGAGCTGAACCCTTCTCTGACATTTCTAGTAATGTTTGAAATGAAATAATGATGTAAAATTTGGTATTTTTTAAAATGTTAAACCTGTGGATGAGGAGCCTGTGTGTACAACGATGCTGAGCACTGGTAAATCTGTTAGACTTAGGAATTCATAAGTGACTCCTAGAAAATACCAGTGGGTAAATTATGAAAAGGATTGCAGGTAAAGCTGTCTTGAGAAAGGGGTAAAGCAATCCCCTAAAGTGACATACGTGTTGTGTGTAAAAGAGTTCTTTTGCCACATGGAGATTTTAATGGCTATCTGAAGGAAATAAACCATATTTGCAAAAGACTTTGTCTGTCTTTGCCAATTTAGGTTTCCTTTTGGCATAGCTCTCTGCCACTGCAGTGGTCCCATGGGCGACTGGCCCAGTGGATGAGAAACAACAGAGTGTGTGCTCGCCTCCGCACCTAGCCTTTTCGTTTTTATTCCTTACAATGGGAGGATAGGGAGGAGGAGTGAAGCCATCTGTGCTTCCCAGTTCATTTTGGTTCAGGGGAATTCTTTCCTGAACCCCTCTGCATTATGACACTGATTAGTTTATCATCTAGAAAATATTTTGGCCACCTTGGGCTTTATTTTATTTGAGGAGTCAAGGAATCACTTATTTAACCAGATATACCTCACAGTGCTAAAATGCTTTGTGAAAAAAATGTGAAAAGAAAATGTACATTTCTGTCCCCCTACCTCCAATCCATTGCTTTTCAGGTTGAGATCTTTCTCACAAGCTGTGTATAGAAAAAATGCTGTTCTTGTAACCCTTCATCCTCATTGTATCATATATTATTAACGAAGAGAGATCTTGGTGTTCATGTGCTGCATCAGGTCTATTGTGCCAATTTTTTTTTCCCTTTTGTTTAAAGAAAACATAAATTTGCACCCATGCGTCTGTTTCAGTCAGTAGTGAATAGCTCATAAAAGGAACAAGGCTGTGGTTTGGCAATTAGAGATGAGGGCTGAAAGTCAGTAAGGTTACAGTTCTGGGGGAGATTTGTCGTTGTTTGTCCTGATGAAGTTCCTCCTAAATGAGGTGATTATTGTAGCTGTCAGGAATGAAAAGGCAGGACACATTGATTTCATCCCCACTGCAATCTCCAGGACGTGCTGGTACAGAGCAGTCAATACAAATTGCCAATTAACAAAAAAACAATATTGGCAAGTCGGCAGTTTGTGAAAAAACTCCCTCCAGCCAGCTCATAAAACTCACGCCATTCAGATCACCATCCTCGAGTAAAGGCATTAGCAAACCTCCCCAGAAAATCAACGAAGATAAGCTTTTTGGCATAGCTGGATTGCAAATTGCAGAGCTAAGAGCCTGTCTGCACAGGGGAAATGGAGCAGAACTGCTATAAAGGAACACACGTCACGTGCGCTACCTATCTTGAGATAAAAATCACTTTACTTTGGAGTAATTTTTCTGCTCTGAAAACACACCGGTTATTCAGGAATAAAGTACCTTTTATTTCAGAATTAAAGTGCCTGTGCTTGAACTTATTCTGCCATTTTGCTAATTAAAATAGATACAACCACTGATAAGATAAAGATTCTTCCACAATAGCTACTGTGGAAGAATAGCCCCTTGCAAATAAGCCCAAGGAATACCATGCTTCCAATTACCTTATATTTCAAATCCAGTTTGCATAAATGGATACCGTCAACTTACCTGCAGACTTCAGCATTTCTCCTGCAATTAAAATAATTAATGTGCAGCTTTGGGCTGAAGAAACAGCTCCAGAATAGCAACCAGGAGTAACATCTTTGACATGATGGAGTGAGCCTGGTTCAGAAAACACTTAGTGACTATTAGTACCTGGATAACTGCTACTGCATTTGCTAAGAAATTCCTGCCCCTGTAATGATAACCCAGGTCCTGAGTGGTGTTTTTAACACAGGCTCTCAAAGCACTTCACTGGGGAGATATCTTTAGCCTTCATTTCCAAACGGGGAAAGGCAGGCAGCAGTTGTAAGATAACTTTTTTTGACATCACATACAAAAACAACCTTTTTTTTTTTTTTTTTTTTTTTTTTCTAACTCCTGAACACAACAGCGTACACCTTGCTGTTTTTAAAGAGGGATGGTACTGTGGCAAGACAGGGAGCTTATGGATAGTGAAAGAAGCAGACCCGACAAGGAAGCTGGCCTTCAGTAAATGCTGAAGATCTGAAAACTTCAGTAAATGTCAAAGTTGTGTCAATTCCCTGCTGTTTTGCGAACTGACACTGGTTTGTCAGCTCCAGCTGCACAAAGGGGAGAAAATGCAGAAGGCAACGTTGGTCTGGTTTCCTGTCACAGCAGGCTTCCCATCAGCACCAAATGCAAGATTGCCTGGGCTATTTCAGCTCACCACACCTCACTGCCTGCCTGGAGAAAACAGGGGAAAGCCATTTTTAAAAAACACTGTGACTTAAATTAAATTACATGATGCTTTGGTAACCCCATGAGGGTGTCATCAGCCTGTATGAGGCTCTAATGCACAGCCCGTATTTGTAGTGTGAGCTGGTTCATAGAACCCTAAAACCATTAGGGTTGGAAAAGACCTGCAAGATCATCTAGTCCAACCATCCCCCAACCACTTATGTCACTACTAAACCATGTCCCTAAGTTCCAAGTTTAACCTTTCCTTGAACATCCCCAGGGATATTGACTCCACCACTTCCCTGGGTAACCTGTCCCAGTGCCCGACTGCTCTTTCTGAGAAGAAATGTCTCCTCATTTCCAACCTGAACCTCCCGTGGCACAACCTGAGGCCATTCTCTCTGGTCCTATCATTAGTTACGTGTGAGAAGAGGCTGACCCCCAGCTCCCCACACCTTCCTTTCAGGCAGTTGCAGAGAGCAATGAGTTCTCCCCTGAGCCTCCTCTTCTCCAGACCAAACACCCCCAGTTCCGTCAGCCACTCCTCACAGGATTTGTGTCCCAGGCCCTTCACCAGCTTCATAGCCCTTCTCTGGACTCACTTGAGCACCTCAATGTTCATCTTGTAGTGAGTGGCCCAAAACTGAACACAGTACTCAAGGTGCGGCCTCACCAGGGCTGAGTACAGGGGGACGATCACTTCCCTGGCCCTGCTGGCCACACCATTCCTGATACAAGTCAGGGTGCTGTCGGCCTTTTTGGCCACCAGGGCACACTCTGGGCTCATATTCAGGTGAGCATCAATCAGCACCCCCATATCTTTTTCCTCGGCACAGCTTTCCAGCCACCCTGCCCCAAGCCTGTATCGCTGCATGGGGTCATTGTGGCCAAAGTAGGACACTGCACTCTCAGCAGCCAACACATTTTTTCATTTTCAATCCTACATACGAGTGTAGCCACCTCATTTGGCTCACAGTGCATGTGACTGAGGCCGAGGCCACCTCATGCCACCATGTCAGGGGGTTGGGAGCACGACTGGGCTTCTGTCAGGGGGATGAGGGCAGACGAGGCCCTTCACAACCCCATTTTATGTAATTTTCAGGAAAAATAAAGGCTTTTGGGTGTTGTGTTTTTTGTGGATACATCTGTCAACTGTTTTGATGATCTCCTAACCAGTTAATGGATTTTAACAGCATTTCAAAGCTCCTGTGCTGCTGCAGGTGCTGCCTGCCTGCAGTTTGGGGCAATTTCCGAGCAGTGTCTTTTTATTTTGGAAGCCTTCAGATCTGTTTCGACAAAAATAACCATTAAAAAGAGGACAATTGTTGCATTCAGAAGGGAATTAGGGGGGAAATGAAGTTTTAATGAGAACAAGGGGGACGAGGTGTGGAGGATGAGGTCAGCAAGTCACTGGCCTGCCCCCTCCATGCCACCCCCTCACTACAAGAAGGACATGGAGGTGCTCAAGCGAGTCCAGAGAAGGGCAACAAAGCCCTTCTCTGGGTCTGGAGAACAAGTCTTATGAGGAGCGGCTGAGGGAGCTGGGCTTGTTCAGCCTGGAGAAGAGGAGGCTCAGGGGCAACCTTATTGCTCTTTATAAGTACATTAAAGGAGGTTGTAGTGAGGTTGAGATTGGTCTGTTCTCCCTGTGTGATAGGATGAGGGAGAATGGGCTAAAGTTGCACCAGGGGAGGCTTAGGTTGGATGTTAGGAAGAACTTCTTTACTGAAAGGGTTGTGAGGTGTTGGGATGGGCTGCCCAGGGAGGTGGTTGAGTCACCATCTGTGGAGGTCTTTATAAAACATTTAGATGTGGTGCTTAGTGCTATGGTTTAGTGGAGAACTGGTTAATGTTAGATCAGATTTGGACTCGGTGATTTTGGAGGTCGCTTCCATCCTAGCTGATTCTGTGATTCACCTGAGGGTGAACCAGGCCGGCTTCACACCCACAAAAACTACAACTCCCAGAACACCCCGCGGCCCTCCCCGCACGGCGCACAGCAGCTTGACTCCACTTCCGCGCTTCCTATTGGGCCGCATCCCCTCATTCTCCCGCCCCCCTCTCCTCTTATTGGCTGCGCCGCGCTAGCGGGGGTGGTTGCCCGGTGCTTTGAGGGGGGAGCAAGATGGCGGCGGGCGAGTCGGCGGGGCGCTACCGGAGCGCGATGAGCAGGAGCAAGGACCCCTCGGGGCTGCTCATCTCCGTCATCAGGTAGGGGCGGCCCGGTCCAGTCCGCCCGTACGGCTCCCGGGGCCGCTGCTGAGGGAGGGGACGGTCCCCTTCTGCTCCTGAGACCCCACTTGGGGCCTGCGTTCAGCTGCGGGTCCCAGCAGCAGGGCAGGGATGTGGCAGAGAGAGGCCAGAGGAGGCCACGGGGGTGCTGAGGGGATGGAGCCCCTCTGGTGTAGGGCCAGGCTGAGGAAGCTTTGGGTGTTCAGCCTGGAGAAGGCTCCGGGGAGAGCTGCCAGGGCCTGAGGGGGCTGCAGGAGGGCTGGTGAGGGACTGTGTGTCAGGGGGTGTGGTGATAGGACAGGGGAATGGCTCTAATCTAACATAGATTAGCTAAAAGAGAGAAATTCTTACATCTGAGGGTGGTGAGGCCCTGTCCCCAGCTGTCCAGAGGGGCTGTGGCTGCCCCATCCCTGGCAGTGCCCAAGGCCAGGCTGGATGGGGCTTTGGGCACCCTCGTTTCATGGAAAGTTCCAACCCCTATGACAAGGGAGTGGAGCTGAATGACTTTTCACGTCCTTCCCAACCCAAACCGTGCTATCATTCATCTCCCATTTCCACCTTGCTGTCTCCAGCATCCTGGGGTCACAGGAGCAAGGCTACAGCAAGCCCCAGCTTTGTGTCCTACTGGGAGGGCCAGGGCACTGCTTCCCTACTGCTCTAGAGCCCGTAGTTGACCCTTGTCCACAAACACGCAGCAGCACTGGGTGAGATAAGGCTGGCTGGAGAAGTCAAAGGACTAGGAAGTTCTTTGTGGAGACACTGTCCTGTTTTAGGATGCAATAGTGGAAAAAGCACCGCCCCAACAAGTCTCACTGCCTTGCAGGGGGCACAAAGAAGGCAGTTGTGTGTTGTCCTGTTTTGGGAATTGATTTCAGTCTGCCCTTACTCCTTTTCTATGCTGGAGGATGGTTCTGTGATATACTTGGATCCAAGCACAGACCTGGCAGTGTGTTAGTTTCCCTCTGTGCCATTTTCAGCTGCTTATAAATCATTTTTGGGCTGCTTACAACCAGTGAGTTGGCGGCTGATTTCCCCCTGAAGCTTTTAAATGCACATCTTACACACTTCAAATTGGGTGTAAGCAGTCATACTGCTCTGTTACTATGCATTGAATGAACTTTCAAACTTCACTTCTCCACCAGAAACTGCTAGAAACTGTGTTTTTTCTACTACTTTGGAGAAGTTAGAGCGGTAATAATTCCGTACCTAGCACATTTCATGATCTAATTTAAAAGTATTGTGTGAGCCGTAGTGTTTAGGACAAAATCCCCTTCCTTTTCATTATTTCTGAAAACCGCTCTTTCAGATCTTGCAGAACTTGAGGTAGATGGCAAGGGAGAAAAGCGGGAGGTTCACACGACTGCTTTGCCTTCCCGGGGTCACCGCTGCAGCCTTGGAAGTGCGTGGTAATAGGTAACAAAGCATCGCGCTGAAAAATGAATGAAAGGAGATGCCGGGCACGGCCAGGCCTGTTTCCAGCTCGTTAGTTTTGTAAGAAAACCAGTTAGGAAAACAGACTTGTTTAGGCTGGAGATGTGTGTACACGCAAGGCCAGCTTTCCTGCAGATTGCTGTGTACACTGATGTGACATGGCGTAAACGTGAGACAGTCGTAGCAGTGTGCTTTGATAACTTCTTACTTTTGATATAACAAGTGCTGAATAGCCAAGTATGGGGTTATTAAAATTTATATTTAGGCCTACAAACTCTCCTGGGTGCACTCATTTATGTGTTCCCAAGGAATGCTTGCTTAACAAATACCTGAATCGTTGTGAAAACTGCCACAAGTCGGGCTTCTTACCTGGATCCTGAGCTCTTACTCTGCACTTGCATGTTGTAAATGTACATAGTGTGGATTTAAAGTGTGGTGTGCTCGTTAATTCTTGGTCAACCTCAAGTTTGAGTGATCTGGGGAGATAAATGTGGTGAGCTGTCGATAGATTGCTGTATTTTCTGTAAATTAGGGTTATTTGTGAGTACTGGAAGAATGAATAATGTAAATGCACCGTTGCAGCATTTCCTCTAGTCTTACTTTTTTTGGCGTGTTGTCTGTAATTCCCAATAGAAACTGAAGAGTTGTAAGGGCCGCCTTTACATCTAGGTCTTGATTTTAATAAATCTTAACTTCTTATTTCATTTATGATATGAGAATGAGCTTATATGACTGTGTTCACCAAAAAAGAAACCATCTTTGTCTAATAATCTTTGGCTCACGGGCACCGAGAGCTGAGGTAGGTTATGTCCAGTGTTTGGGTGCAACCTTGAGGTTACAGACTTCATGAAATTAAAGTTGTTTGGTAGACCAGCGTGATAATTAAACCTCCGAAATTTAATTAGAACTTGCTTTGGGTGTAGTGCTTGAGGTGTCGTGCTGGGCCAGACCACGCGAGCCTGGAAGTGGAACAGGTGACGTTTTTTGTTGTGTTTGTAAAATGCTGTTGCAAAGACATTGAAACCTTTCTCTTTCTTTATTCATCTTCAGCAAGATGTTAGGGATTTTAACAGCCCGCCGTTGGTTTGAAATGTAGCAAAGTTTTCTTTCCTCGATCACTTTGTTCCCAAACACTTTGCACGGATTCTCCTGCCAGCCCTGGGAGCTTTACCCTTGCGTTTCCCTATTGAGAAGGCTGCTGAGTTCTCCTCGTGGCTGTGCGGAAGGCCCCTGGAAGGAAGCTGTGTGTGAAGAGCAGCAAAACTTTGCATTCTTCTGCCTCAAACAAACCAAACCAGAGGGGTTACTTCAAGCATTGCTGTATTTTACATGATTGTAGCAGAGCTGGCTGTGTTTTTCAGGAAGAAATGCTGTTTAGGTCAGCAATATCGAGTCTGTTTTAGTCTATAAAATGCTTTGAAACATGGAGATTGGTGTTTTATAAATACAAATGATTTTATTAATGAAGGGATATATTTCTATGTTTACTCAAGCTAAGAAGCTCTCTACTGTAAGAGACTAATGAATTTACTTGCCTCTGATGCCAGATTTAGGGACTCTGAGCTTCCTAGGGGCAGAACCAGTCTCCTTTTCGGTGAGAGTATTTGGGGCCGGATCCTTGGCAAAGCCCTACCGTGTTAGAGCAGCACTGAAATCACGTGAGAAGTGGTCTTTTTTTGCAGGCTCTGATCTGAAACGAGAGCTGCTGCTTCAGGAAAGTCGACTGCGTACGAGCCCGTGGAGCAGAGGGTGTCTCGTGGCAGCGCTGGGGGTTGCTCTGTCGCACCGAGTGGCCGCGCAGCCTTAAAAAGGAGCCTGAGGAAGTTTCTGACCTCCTCTGAGCCTCCAATAACGCTCCTAAACTGCGTCTCTGTGCAGTGTGGGAGCTCGGGGTTGTTCCCAGTCTCTGCGGTGTTGCTTTTCAGCTGCTCTGAGCGCAGATAAGTGCGAGATGGAGGAGGAAGAACCGTCCCGCTGCCAGGCCCTTATCTCTCCCCGTGAAGTGTCAGCTTTTCCTGTTGTGCTGGGTTTGTTCTTCGGGAGCTGTTTCCTGTAGGATTCCTGAAGTGACCGAGTTCACCTTGGTTCTCCAGCTACTACCAAGAACAGAGAGCGATTTCGGGTGGCTTGTGGCCAGAATAACTGTCTTGTAGCCCACAGGTGGGGTGTTTTTTAGGGGCATGGTGCCACATCTGCACTCCTGCAGGGCTGCTGTCAGGGGGGAGCGATGTGCTGAGCTGTTCCCAAAGGCCAGGAGCTACCGGCAGGGCTGAGTGGTGAGGTGGGGACTCTGTGGGGTTGCTGTGGGGTTACGCTGGGTGCTTGGGCATGGTTTGCTTCTTCACAGAGTCACAGAATGGCTCGGGTTGGAAGGGACCTTAAAGATTATCCAACTCCCCTGCTGTGGGCAGGGATGCCACCCAAACTCGTGTTTTGGGGGAGAAACTGGCATTTCTCCTAAAGAAGATGTGGGTTTTGGAGTGTGGCTGTCTAGAAGACAGTAAGTCTTCTAGAAATAAGGAGTGTTTGGGAAGCCTGATGAATATTTGCAAAGCATGCTAATAAAATCCACCTCTGCTGTGGCTTGGGCAGTCTTCGTCTTCTCCCTGTGCCCTTAGATGAGAGTGTGAGTTGTTGCTTCGGATTCCTGAAGAAAAACCTCCTTTGTAAGACCAAAAGGGACACCAGGAGCTTTCGGTGCAGTGCTCACCACGTGGGCTTTCACGCTGCCTTTCTAAAAAGCAGCGCAAAGAATGGAGGAAACTCTGTTCATCCACTCGAGGACAACCGAGGGAATATATGCATTAATCTCTCCGAGGACAGACACGTGTACGTACATTGATTTTGCTTAACCTTTTGTTTTGTTCGGAGCTGCTCGAAGCAGCTTTTGTAGTCTGAAACAAGCAAGCTGGCATTTAGCAAATGCTCATTTTTTTTTTTCTGAAAGATCCTGTCAGATTTTTAATTGGTGAACGGCTGCCTTTTATTTATTGTTAGGCGTTCCTCCTCCCAATTAAAGGTGGCTGTTTTTTAAAGCTGGCCTTTAATAGCTGCTTTAATTGGGAGAAAACAAACTTCGGCAGTGACTCTGGGAGACCTTATTGAAATCTTGTAGCGAAGCTTTCACACTGGCAAACACACATGACAGATGTCAAGGAGAAGTAAAAGTGAGGCAGGGCGTAGCGTGCTTCCTACTTTTCATACCAGCAGAAGTTGGAACTGCAGGCAGAACCCTCAAACATACTTTTTTTTCCCAACCAAAATTCTTCTTTTCCCTTTTAATGGTTTCTGGCCATTATTTTCATTACGTTTACAGTGAGCTTCGTTAAACGGCTTCTTCCTAACGACCTGGTGTTTGATCTTCTCGTTATGTCGAAGGCAATAGAAGCGGTATCCCTGGTTGTGACGTAGAGTAGGGAAGATGGATGTGCAGCTGATGCCCTCGCTCTTACAGCTGGGAAATAGCTGCCACGAGAAATAAAGCCAAGTTATTCTGATCTGTGTGGACGGTAATGGTCTCTTAAAACCGCTTTTATTGCTAATAGTGT